AAATATAAGATACAGTAAAATGTAAAATATAAAATAACACAAAATGTAAAATATATTGAAATATGAAATAAAATAAAATGTAAAATAGAAAATAAAATTAAACTATGAAATCAAATAAAATATAAAATAAAACAAAATGAAAAACATACAATAAAATAAAATGTAAATTCAATAAAATATAAAATACAATGTAAATATAAAACAGAACGAAACGCAAAGTATGAGATAAAATGCAAAATACAATAAAACAAAATAGAAAATGAAACACAATGAAAAATATAAAGTAAAATAACATGCAAAATACACAACCAACAAATATTTAAATTAAATTAACTAAGCAGAGCTCTCTGGTGGCACAGTGGTTAAGAGCTCCGCTGGTAACCAAAAGGTCGCCAGTTCGAATCTACAAGGTGCTCGTTGGAAATCCTACAGGACAGTTCTACTCTGTCCTATAGGGTCTCTATAAGCCGGAATTGACTCGACCACGACGGTTTTTTTCAATAGCCATGGATTCTGAACCAGCCACCAGAAGATTCCACCTGGTCCCTAACAGGGTCCTGGGTAGCAGCCTGTGGTAGCCTCCCCACAGCTTTCTGGGCAAAAGAACAGCAACATCCCAAATGTCCACCCACATTTCCAGAGTGGCCATAAAGTGGAGGAGGAACCTCCGCGTGTTCTGAGCTGCAGCTGTCTGGCAGGAGCATGTAGGATGCCACCATTTAGAGAAACCGCAATCCAAAAAGGGTGTCGATATATATGTGCCCCCAGTCAGGCCTCTGCATGCAGTATCCCTGGACGGAAGGGAAGGCTGGGTACTTGGGGTGGCCTTTGGACGGGGAGCCTGGGCTTTTGGAGAAAACTGACTTCTCCATCATATACATTTATAGGAGGTGAACTTTATCTTGTAAACTCTTCTGAACATACAGAAAAGCGTGAGGGGCAAAGGAATCGCTGCTGTCATACAAAAATCTCTTTTCTTCTACAAGTGGTTTAAATAAAGGATCCCATTTGTGATGAAATCGGTAAAGAAGCAAGACAGCATGTGTTGATGTAGAAAGACGCTTCCACCCCCCACCCCCCACTAGACATATTAAGATAAAAGACCAATCAACGGGGGTTCAAGGGAAGGAGGGAGGGAGGAAATGATGGAGCACAGGGCATTTTTAGGGCAGTGAAACTATTCGGCATGATACTGTAATGCTGGACACGTGACATTCTGCATTTGTCAAAACCCGTTGGACTATACAACAGCAACAGTGAAACCTCATGTAAACCATGGCCGTTTGTTAACAATAATGTATCAATATTGGTTCATCAATTGTAACAAATGTACCACACTAGTGTAAGATGTTAACAGTAGGATAAATGGTGCGTGGGGCGGGGTAGAGGAAGGGCTTATATGGGAACTCTGTACTTTCTGTACAATTTTTCTGTAAACATATAGCTGCTCTAAAAAATAAAGTGTGTTTAAAAGAGAGAGAGAGAGAGAGAGAGCAACAGTTGGGTCTGGCTCCCTCCTCTCCATAAAAAAATACAAACCAAACCTGTTGCCCTTGAGTCGATTCCAACTCATAGTGACCCTATAGGACAGAGTAGAACCGCCCCATAGGATTTCCAACGAGTGGCTGGTGGATTTGAACTGCTGACCTTTATGGTTAGCAGCCAAATGCTTAACCGCTGGGTCACCAGTTGATCCATGGGCAAAACCAAAAACCAAAGCTATTGCTGCAGAGTCAATTCCTGCTCATGGTGACCCCATGTGTTATAGGGTAGAATTTCTCTTGTTATAGAGTAGAACTTTTCTTGGCTGTACTCTTTATGGAAGCAGATTGCCAGGACTTTCTTCTGCAACACTGCTGGGTGGGTTTAAACTGCCAACCTTTAGGTTGATAGTTGGATGCAAACCATTTGCACCACCCAGGGACCTAGTTTTTCCATGGGCAGACATGTAAAAATCTACACGTTTCAGAAATTTCTAGAATCAAATATAAGAAAATGTTGAGGAAGGTGGCTTCTGGGCAGTAAGACAGGTATGGGGGAGAAACTTGCTTTTCATTGTCCACCGTTTTGTACTGCTGAGTTTTGATGAGCCAAGTGTGAGTTTCGTAATT